TGAGGGACACACATGCCAATACCCACTAATTTCAAAGTATTCAAATGTCTTGGTGTATTGCTTTATTAAGAAGGGTTAGCAAGGTCTTCCGATGGAATCAACTAAAATAAAAATACCTTTGTTTAACACAAAATAGAGAAGGAAATCTAATGGCCTAACTCAGAACAAACGGCAAAGTTTAAGATGCTTGGAAAGACTTTTAGATCAGCTCTCTAGGCAGCTCTTACCAGTTTGCTTCCTAAACTATATCTATGCACATACTGTCTTGTAATTGGACTTACTGTTTGTTCTCCGATCTATCTCTTCCCTAAGATATTACACAAGTTGCCAGTTCCTTAGTGAAGTTGACTTTAGGAGACTTAAGAAAAATTATAAATTTCTTCCTCTTCATATCTATGATGTATTCTGTTACTGTATTCCTACCATGGCATTTACTCACTTGATAGTCATGTGTTATTGTATCCCAATGCTGCAACATAATCTCTAATAAAGACTCCTTAACTACAGTATTCTCATATCTGCAAGAATGACTGAAATAGTTCTTTTATTAATCTAAGGCCTTGTCTATGTTTATTTTCTATCAAAATTTTACCAGTTCATTCTGTCTACTTTACCCAGATAGAAAGCCTGAATAGACGAGTGCTTGAGTGCTTGTATTTGGCAGCTGCTGTATCTCTAGATGTGGCACAGCAACAAACAGGAACAACAGAGGGATGACACTAGCAGCATCATAGCTCTTGTGTATGTCTAAAACGTTGGGATCCCTCAGTGGTTGGCATTACAGCTATGGACAGTTGTTCCTTAGCCCTTAACAACCATTAGTGTTCTCACACTGATATAGGCCTAGGAATCCAGATTGAACCAGTTAGTGTTAAAAGTCTCAGTCTGAAGTGTCTGAGACCTTTACCCTACACGTTCTACAGCTCTGGAGAAATCTTCCAGTGACGAAACACTCTACTTTCTTTCCTCTGTGTCCTTAGAGCAGCTTTACCATTCCAACCTCTTTTGCCATCTCATAACTTCTGGACCTTTTGTCTTCCAGTCTTGGTGGCGCTCTGACTCTTCAGCCGCTTCTTCTCTAGCAGCCACATGTCTGTTTCTTTTAGAGGTTGGCCTGGCCTCCTGACTGCTCAGTCCCACTACCTCTGCCACCATCTCATACCCCACTGTCTCTCATGCTTATTTCTTTCTGTTCAGTTCCATGATACTAGATGAAGGCAAGGAAAGACCACCTGGGATAAGCCTTTTATTGTATCGAATGTAACACCATCACAGCAGGAAGTACAGGAGATTGTCTCCTGGCCTGTTCACTCAGGTTGCCTAACACCTTGTTTGTATAGGCGGAGAAAGGTATTGAACCAATCATAGCATACCTCTCAGGCAAATGGAAATTTACGTTTGAACAAATCACAGCCTTGGCTATTTCATACCAGTCCCTCTCCTAGGCCATCAGGGAAGTGCATCCAGACTAAGAAAAAAAATGTTGAAGGGAGATTCAGAGTTAGTTAAGGTTTTTGATTGTGTGATGAATAATGCTATGCCAATTTGATGCAAGCTTAAGTCATCTGAGAGGAGGGAACCCCACTTTAAAAAATGCTTTCATAAAATGGGTTTGTAGGCAAGCCTGTAGGCCATTTTCTTAATTATTGATTGATGGGGGAGTGTGGGAGCCTGTTTTCAGGTTCCTCATGTCTTTACCCAGCAGGTCCACATAGAGAGGATGATTAGGACCATGGGCCTGAGTGCAGGTGTCTGAGATGGTCTGCACCTGGCTGTGCTGGGGCTGGGGCAGGTTTTTTGCTCCACCCCTTGGAGTCTCTATAAATACCCTGGGGCAGAGACAGGGCACATTGGAATAGGTTCCAGGCCCTTTCAAGGATACCTTTTATTTTCTATCTGTTTATCTCCACAATCTAAATCCTTCTATCTAATATTTCCTGCTGCTCACACTCAAGAAAACTCTGAGGAACTGTGGGGTTGGTGGGTAAACCCCCCCCCCCAGGGGAGGGCCCAGCCCATTGTGGGTGGTTTCATCCTTAGGCTTGTGGAGTTGGGTTCTATATGAAAGCAGGCTAAATAATCCAGTAAATGCTGGACAGTAAACAGCACGCCTCCATGGCCTCTACATCAGCTCCTACCTTAAGGTTCCTGCTCTGCTTGAGGTGCTGCCCTCACTACATTTGATGATGAACTGTTATATAGAATTGTGAGTGAAATTAACTCTTTCCTCAAGTTGCTTTTGGTCATGGTTTCTCATCACAGCAAGAATAACCTCAACTAAGATAGATATAGGTACTAGGATTTGGGGATATTGTTGCAGAAGTGACCATGTTGTTTTTGTTCGATGTTTGGAATTGTGGGCTAGAAAAGCCATTGAGTGTTCAAATATTGGTGAGCTGTTTTGTGGGAGGCTGAAAGATAAAAAATGTAAAGAGAAATGGAGAGGATGGAGGCCTGGCTTGGGAAGTTCCAGGAGAAAGGTTGAGAATCACTCAAAGATTCTATCAGGGCCTTTACATATTTGAAGTTAAACTACAGTTCTGGTTAGCTGGATCTAAAATGTCAGCTGTGATTAACAAGGGACCAGAACCACTGAGGGAAAACCTTTGCTTTGTAGCTGGAGCTAAGAAATTAGCAATGATAAGAAGAGACCAACATCATTGAGGTGAAATCTTCTGGGAAGTGTTTCCTTAGGCTCAACACACAGAAGCTGTGCTATATAAGTGACCAAGGTTGTGATTGTTGTTGGCAGCTGAACTTGGTAGTGGAATAGTCACCCAGATGGTACTGGTTTTGAATGCATGAAGGGGTCATGGAGAGCAGATGAGGCTCGAGACTGTGTGGCAAGGCTGGAGTCCCTGAAGAGAGCACTAGAAAGGCTACTGGTGAAGGTGCAGCCAACATGCAACAGTGTGGCCCTGAATTGTGGTAATGCCAATACCATAAGTTGGCCACCAAGAACAGCAACGGTGGTGGAGTGGAATCAAGCTCTGTGTGCTGCATAGGGAGGATCCAGAGAAGTGACAGAAGCCCTTTCAAAAAGCCTAGAAAATCATGAGTGGATCCCAGATGTTGGATCTTGAGTTAACAAGTTGGATCTTAATTGACACAGTTTTGTTTTGTTCAGATTGTGACTATGCCCTGGTTCTTCCCTCTTGAAGTAAGAAAGTATTTAATTTTATAGGACCCTACAGTTGAGAGCTTACAGTTGAGAGAGTTTGGATTTTAAAAGATACTTGATTTTAAAAGAGATTAAATTTTTTAAGTTTTTTTTAAATTTGTAAGAATAGATCTTTTAAGTTTCTGAATATTTTATATTATGATATCAATATTAATGTGTAGTCTTGGGGATGAACAAGAAACAGAAGGTTGTTGCTTAGCAGTGATGTGCTTGTGTGTCAAGCTGACAAAGGGTCAAATATGTTGAATATTTTTATATCGAATTGACACAAGCTAAAATTATCTGAGAGAACGAAACCTCAATTAACAAATTGCTTCCATAGGATCCAGCTGTCCATAAGCCTATAGGGCATTTTCTTGGTGATTGAAGGGGAAGGGCCCAGCCCATTGTGGGTGGTTTTATGACTAGGCTTAAGGTTTTAGGTTCTGTAAGAAAGCAGACTGAGCAAACCAGTAAGCAGCATTCCTCCATTGCACCTACATCAGCTCCTGCATCCAAGTTACTATCCTGCTTGAGTCCCTGCCCTCAAGTGATGAACTCTTATATGGACCTGAGTGAATGAATAAATCTTTTCCTACCTAAGTTGCTTTTGGTCATGGTGTTTCACCACAGCAATAGTAACCCTAACAGATAACACTAAGTCCAGTACAGACTGACTAGTCCTCTTGAAGCCAAAGAAATGAGCTGTGGGTTTGTTTTTTTTGTTTTTTTGTTTTTTGTCTCCCCGCCCCCATCCCTCAGGGCATCTGTGGATTATTCAAAATGTTGGTACTGGCGTGATAGTCTATTTGGCTGTTGACTGATGGTCTTTTTGCTAATAACTGTTAATTATAGAGTCAAACCATCCCATCCTCCATTTGCTCAGCCTGCTTTCTTATAGAAACCAGCACCACTAACCTAGTGTGGTACCACCCAATATGGAATGGACCCTCCCATATCAATCACTAAGAAAGTGCTCTGCAGTCTTAAATGGAGACATTTTCCATATTATGTTTCCCTCCTCCCCAATAACTATAGGTTGTGGAAAGCTGGCAGAAAACAAGCCAGCACAGAGGATATCTGCATCTATCTCAGAATGACCGTAGAGGCATTTAATTTTGTACTGTTTAATATACATCACTTTGTAGCAAATTATATATAAGGGTAGATTGGGAAAATCCACTGAACACTTTTCATGGTTCTTGTGATTTTGATCCAATAATGTATGCTACTTTAAATCCTTTTAGTAAGTCAACAAATATTTTTATTTATTTTTTTTATTCTGTTTATGTGTCTGTTTCTCTGTGAGCATGAGATGTGTCTGTTCTCTGTGAGCACTGGAGTTCAGATGCTCACAGAAGCCAGAGAAAGGAAGTCAGGTCACCGAGATATAATGACGGGTGGTTGTGAGGTGCCTGATGTGGGTGATGGGAACAAGTCCTGGATCCTCTCGGAGAGCAGTGTGTGTTCGTGCCTGCTGAGTCCTCACTCCAGCTCTCCCCCCAGAACTATTGTAACTACTTTGACATATATTTAAAACGCATATGCCTTCTAACAACCCTACAAAACAGGAAATGTTACCAATTCTATTCTACAGTTGAGGAAACTGGCAATCTTAAAGCTGTGTTTGTCATGTGATTAACGGAGAAAGCTTCCAGAAGAGTAGGTTCCATACTGTCGATCAAAGGGTCATGGTTAAAACGCTGCTTTGTTTCTTTGGACAGTTTCGTTGCATAATTTTAACTCAGTTTCTTTTGTTAGAACATTCTTGAACGTGAACATTTCTGTTAATGGCAGTGGTTTTATAATCATGTCACTGTTTTTCGTTTCCTTTGTGCAGTGGGATGCCATTACTGAAATGGATGAGCACAACAGGCCCATACATACGTACCAGGTATGCAACGTCATGGAACCAAACCAGAACAACTGGCTGCGGACTAATTGGATCTCTCGTGATGCTGCACAGAAAATTTATGTGGAAATGAAGTTCACACTGAGGGATTGTAACAGCATCCCGTGGGTCTTGGGAACTTGTAAAGAAACATTTAATCTGTATTATATAGAATCGGATGAATCCCATGGGACAAAATTCAAGCCAAGCCAATATGTAAAGATCGACACAATTGCCGCTGATGAGAGTTTTACTCAGATGGATTTGGGTGATCGAATCCTTAAACTCAACACTGAAATTCGTGAGGTGGGACCCATAGAAAGGAAAGGATTTTATTTGGCTTTTCAAGACATTGGAGCTTGCATAGCCCTGGTCTCAGTCCGTGTTTTCTACAAAAAATGTCCCTTCACTGTACGGAACTTGGCTATGTTTCCTGATACCATCCCAAGGGTTGATTCTTCCTCTTTGGTTGAAGTGCGGGGCTCATGTGTGAAGAGTGCTGAAGAGCGGGATACTCCTAAACTCTACTGTGGAGCTGACGGAGATTGGCTTGTTCCTCTTGGAAGGTGTATCTGCAGTACAGGATATGAAGAAATTGAGGGTTCTTGCCATGGTAAGATGCAAAAATACAAATAATTTATCCTGTATCTTAAATTGTTTTTTAAAAGTTTTTCAATGTGCTTCCTGATCATTTCTTATTGAAGAAATGTGGGGGCTGCTCTAACCTTTTGAAGGGTTCTTAAGTAGAAGAGAGAGGAATGAGGAAATACCAGAAAGAAAGACCCAGAAGATGAGAAGAAAGACAGAAACACATTATAGCTCCAGGAAGGCCTGGGTCGATATCCAACAGCCGTGTCCTTTATTGAAAAGGACTTTTTGTAATGTGCCAAGGGGAGAGGCAAAAGACATCCCTCTTGCAAGACCAAAACACACTGTCCAGCCAAGGGTAGACCCTTCCAAGCACCTGCTAAATATGCCCATGGCCAAATCATCTCCTTATGCAGCCCTGCTGGGTAAAGGTTCTCTGACCCTGAATAAGTTTTCACTGGGAAGCCTCTGTGGACTCCCACAAAGAAATTGACTTCTCTTAAGTATAAGAAAACATCTGATATATTGTTTTTTTTTCTTTCATATAGAAATGATATAGCCTATTCTCCTTTCATTTAAATCCTATGAATTCTGGGATTTACGTCATTTTTATGTAGAAAACCAATGCCAACCTCAGTGCACTACTGACCTTTGCTAGTACTAAGTAAGATTTTCACCTACATTAGATTTTTAATTTTAGTAAGGATTTTTAAAAGTAATTGTGAAAAATAATAGCATTGTAAAATGCATTTAAATTTAAAATTATAGCTTTCATATTCTTACTATGAGAGTGAAATAACTATAATTTAGAGATTATTTTTCTCTCACATGAGTCATCTTATGGAGACTTATTAATTAAATAAATATATACATTTAAAAATTTTACTTAACCTTCATAAAGAACATTTATTTCACTACATATAAATTGAAAATTTATATAATTCAATATATAAATACAGTGATCTCTTTGTACAGAGTGGTGTACTACAGATGTTCTGTTCTCAGTGGTAAGTTATTCATAGGAATTTTTTCCTCTAGCACCATATTATATTTAATTCACTTATACACTGGTGTTAAATTCATATTTGTTTAAAAAATGAAATACAGAAGGTAAAGAAAATTTTTTCTTATATATGCATATGTAAGCACATATATGTGTATAAATAGTAATAAAAGTGAGTGTTCACAGATTTAATCAGTAGGACACATGGGTTCTTGGTTACCACAAATTTCACTAAACCATTAAGTGATGGCCATATTTGCTGGTGAAAAACATTAATAGAGGTATGGGAAGTTTTCTATCTTTTGCATAAAGCATGAAATAGCCTTTATGATTTAATCACTAGGATATTTCATTCAAATTAATACAAAGTGTTAACCTAATGTTTTTGTTCACCTATATCAAGATTTTATAATGGAGTAAGTATAAATTATGAGTGATTCTAGAAGGAGGGATTATGAATTCATTTTGCCTTAGAGTATGCCATACATAATCATTAATTAACTATTTGAGAATTTGGAGAAAGCAAAAGAGTTCAGGATAAATATTATAAACCTAGCATCCATATGTATTTTTTATTTAAGATGCTTTCTATGTGAAAATTCACTTTTACATATTGCATAAACCTTCACTCATTGCTGGGCAGAGATAGTTTTAAATAAATGATAAATAGCATTAGTTTATTGGGTGGTAGCATATCTGTGTTTAGTGTTGTTAGCTTTACAATCCTTCATCTGGTCATGGAAGCAAAAGGGACTGTGTACTGTACAGACACTCTTCATTTCTAATAATGTATAGCAGAACGAGAAGAGTTAATCTTAGATTTTATAATCCTAGATCACTAACTAAAAATCCATTGACATAAAATAGTAGTCAAATCAATATAACGTACTCATGAAACTTCTAAATATATATGCTTCTCACTATAAGTAATAAACTTATTTTCAAACAAGTGGGAAACACAGTATATGTGAAGAAATTTAAAAATTTATGCTTTCCATTTTAAGCTATTCATTTGCTTGAATACTTTCAAGTTATTCTTCTCTTTCCTGCAATAATACATATTATTGATTCCATTCTCTGCCAAAACTTTATATCATAGCCAAACTTCTGAATTTTTCATAATAAATGTCAAAGTATTCAAATGTATATGAATAAACTTACTCATGAACTTAATATACTTATATGAATAAAATGCACACTTCAAACTATAATTTGACTACACATCTAGGGAGGGGAAAAGAAAAGCATTATCGACATTTGACTTTGTTGGTTTAGTCTATTCTGAGAAAATAATCATTAGAAAACATTGATACTTGTTATTTTTGAATATGTATTCTTTTAGTCACTCTAGTTGATGACAAAGAACTAAGTATGCTATATATTTCTTCGAGACAAAGCAATACAAAACATATGGCTGGCCACATCAGTGACTTAGTATATCTCTGTAGTAGATAAGCCTAAGACAGAAGAAGCAGAGCTTGTAATGTGACCTTCTGGTTGCTTGACCAGAGTTGGAATATGTAAGATCATCTCTTCCTTCCCAGAGTTATTCTCTAGGTGGCCTCTTAAGATTTCAGAAATTATTGGATGAGATTTCCAGCACAACAGTTAGGGTGTTTGGCCATCCTATCACCAGAGTAAGTCAGTTCGGGCTTTCTCTCCACCATTGCCAGTAGTCTATTGTGGAGGTATCTTTGTGGATTTCTGGGGACCTCTCTAGCACTTTGCTTCTTCCTATTCCCACGTGGTCTTCGTTTATAATGATCTCTTATTCCTTGTTCTTCCTCTCTGTTTTTGATTCAGCTGGGATCTCCTGCTCCCCTAAGCTCTCTTTTCCTCAAAACTTGCCCTTCATTACCCCCACTCATGTCCAGATTGTTTATGTAGATCTTATGCATTTCTCTGTCATTGGGCGATCCCTGTGTCTTTCTTAGGGTCCTGTTTTCTAGGTAGCTTCCCTGGAGTTGTGAGTAGCAGTCTAGTCATCTTTGTATTACATCTAGTATCCTCCTATGAGTGAATACATAAAATGTTTGTCTTTCTGAGTCTGGGTTACCTCACTCAGGATGATTTTTTCTAGATCCATCCATTTGCCTGCAAACCTCATGATGTCATTGTTTTTCTCTGCTGAGTAGTATTCCATTGTGTATATGTACCACATTTTATTTATCCATTCTTCAGTTGAAGGGCATCTAGGCTGTTTCCAGGTTCTAGCTATTACAAACAATGCTGATATGAACATAGCTGAGCAAGTGCCCCTGTGGTATGATTGAGCATTTTTTGGGTATATGCCCAAGAGTGGTATAGCTGGGTCTTGGGGGAGATTGATTCCCAATTTTCTAAGAAAGCACCAAATTGATTTCCAAAGTGGCAGGTGTAGCTCCAGGAGTTCAATTGGCGAGAAAGAGGAGGGATTGTATGAACGAGAATTGTTGAGACCAAGATTGGAAAAAGCACAGGGACAAATAGCCAAACGAATGGAAACACATGAACTATGAACCAATAGCTGAGGAGCCCCCAACTAGATCAGGCCCTCTGGATAAGTGAGACAGTTGATTAGCTTGAATTGTTTGGGAGACCCCAGGCAGTGGAACTGGGACCTGTCCTTACTGCATGAGCTGGCTGTTTGGAACCTGGGGCTTATGCAGGGACACTTTGCTCAGCCTGGGAGGAGGGGACTGGACCTGCCTGAACTGAATCTACCAGGTTGAACTGAATCCCCAGAGGAGTCCTTGCCCTGGAGGAGATGGGAATGAGGTGTGGACTGGAGGGAAGGTGGGGTGGGGGAGGGATGGGGGAGGACAAGGGAATCTATGGCTGATATGTAAAATTAAATTAAATTATAAAATAAAAAAAATTTAAAAATGGGGGAAAAAAAGATTTCAGAAGTTAGCTTAAGCTTTCCTACAACATAGTAGGACCAGAAAGGAACGGCAAACAAAACAGGGAAGAAAATAAAAGGTTTAGGGTTTTTCATGTGTCATGGGTTTAAAAGTGTGGAGGAGGGGACCTGTGAGGGAGTAAATGGCTGATACTGTGTTGACGGAGGGCTACTGCTGTGATTCTGAATCTCATTCCATTCTGTTTCCCTCTGATTAATGTCCTTCCTTCCACAATCCCGTGCTCCCATTTTATGGCATCATGCTGAAGCCCAACACAGCTTCATCTAAGCCTATTTCAGATGAGAGCAAAAGTGCTCTCTTTGAAGCTCCCCCAATTTGAAAGATATGTGGTTTCAATTTTTGTTTTTAACCAACAAAACACAGGAATTAGAATACTGAAAAGTTTTTAAAATTCTAAAAGATGGAATCTAAAAGAATGGAATTCTGTCGTAATGATGAACTCGTCTATATGTCAGCATGCCATAAATTAGAGGCTGAGTTTATCCTCTTCGTAAAGCCCAGGCCTGTGTCTGGCTCTCAGCAGCTACTGGCTTCAGCCACTGTTCTCAAAGTGCTTTACATTGAGTCATTCTCCTATAGAACTAGTGAGTTTAGTTTGAACAGCCCTTTCAAACTTTCCTCATTTGATCAATACTAAGAAATGTTTTTTCTCGCCACCAAATTATCAAAGACCATCCTCATCAATTGTTCTTCAGTTTGTATCATGGATTGACCTTTTCTTAGGCCCAACAGCAGTTTCCTTGGCACTTTCCAAAACTCCGCTCCCTGTCTTTGCTATCCTATTCTGGGACCATAATCTATTCGATCCCCAAGTGCCCTGGTTATTGTTTATTGTCAACTCGACCCAAAGTTAATAGATTAACTTTGGATGAGGGCCCTCAACTGAAGGATTGTCTCAGCACTCAACCCGAGTCAACTGTTATAGGATATTGTAATTATTTTTAATTGTTATTGGGGGTCCAACACATTGTGGGTAACACCATCCCTAGGCAAGTGGTCATGAACTGTGACATCCTTTCTCATGTATATACCATGTATATATGCCTTACAGATCAAGGGGTCCTTTTGAGGCACACAAAATACTAGCATGGTGAGATCCTTTGATACTAGTATAGTGGT